TTTTGAAGTTCGAAAATCCTAGGAGAGGCAGGCAAGCAAGAAATTTTTCAGAAAATGATCCGAAAATTCTAGACCTCAAATCGTCTTCCGAACAGATAATTTTCCGAAAATTGTCGTTGGGTGCCCCTGACATTGACGATACAGGACGTGAGGCAAAAGGACCATCAAATTTGACTTTAATTTTTGTACCTCAGAAACAAAAAAGGATGTTTTATTTATGCCAGGTATCTAAGTATTGCAATTTGTTGCGTGCTTATATTTATAAAATCATAAAATATAGAAACATGTAATTTACAGTTATATATAATCATAACTATAACAAAATTCGCAAATCTGATTGGCTATCAACTGCCCTGATATGATTTCAGCCTTAATAGGACAGTTTAATAGGACAGTACGCGTCATGACTAACTCATTGAAGAGTACGCGCCATCACGCGAGCGCTTAAATGTAAATGAAAACTATTGGAATTTCTTGTGTTTTGATTAAAAAAGAGCCTTATATGTCACAAATTTTGTTAAAGGTACGATTAATTGATAACAGAACTTCGTGTCGTCCAGTTTGGTCTGCTATTACCTATACTAATCATACTCGTGATTACTGAAACAAATCGGACTCCCCCTACTTGATCGTCCCACTTTGTTTTAACAAAAAAATCAATCGTATGATTACAGACCGAAGGGGACTCCACTCAGTCCTATTGCCATTACAAACACTCGTCCCAATACGGATGGCGGTTTCACTTTATTTAAATGTATTTAGACTTAGCTTTCGCCTTTTTTCGCGGTATTGTTTCTTAGAAGAATACGACTTTGCTACTGAGATTTCCGGGCCCGATTCCTGAAAATTAGCGCTAATCCAGGATTAAAATTTTGTTCAGTTGTTGTATTTTACCTTCCTTTGTATTGCTTAGAGTAACAATTTCTGTTACCATCCTGTATCTTGGAGTGAAGGCTCGACAGTTTTTGTAATCTCGAATGGCATGTTCTTAGACAAGAAAACCTTGATTAAAATTTAGCTTAATCCTGGGTTAAACTTAACCATCTTTCGAGAAACCGGGAAGTAATTGTGTGTTTACCGGTATCATGAGCTGAAAACCGACATGACGTCACTCATCATGACTCATGCATGCAGAACGTGCCGACTCAAATCCGTGTTAATTTTTCCGTATACATTTTTCTTGTAAAATAGCCCCCCTTTTCATTCGTAAGTAATAAAAACACACTATGAAAAATGTAAAATCAGACAAAAAGCTCAATAATGACACGACTCACGTCAATGAAAATGCGCAATTAAATTAATATAAAATCGTACGTTAACTTCAAAGAATAGAGTGTAGTAGCAATAGTAGCAAAAATAATTAGTCATAAAAAATTTCCGGACATAAAATTTTCTGTTTTCAATCAAACGGACTGAAGCGGAGTGACGGCCGGGAAAGACGAACCAAAGTTGTTTTAACCACAGTCAACCCACCCTTTTTAAACAATTTGAAATTTGAAAACAAAGTCGATGTTGTTTTTGTTTGTTTGTTTATTTGTTTATCATCGGTGAATTAATTTTAATCAACCCTGGAAATTAAGCGATGTCATTCTAGTTGTGGAAGAAGAGAAATTCCATGTTCACCGCGCCGTGCTTGCTTTGTCATCTCCTGTCTTTGAGAAGATGTTTTGATCAGAATTTCAAGAAAAAGACAAGAAAGAAGTGACCCTTCCCGATAAAAAGGCAGGCGAGGTTGAAGGATTGCTTCTGATGTTATATCCCTCCGTGGCAGAGAAACAAATAACAGAGGAGATCAGAACTGTTTCTTTCTGGTGAACCTTGCCCACGAATATCAAATAGAGGCCATTGTTCGGAGATGCGAAGATTTTATGGTTGAGAATGTAAAAACTAAAGCGAAAGATTGTATCATTGCAGAATTGATTTTTGCACGGAAGTATGAATTAGTGAGATTGAAAAGGGCGACTATCGAGCGAGCTTATAATCTTAGCCTGGAAGAGTTAAAAAATGACAAAATGTACGACCAAATCGAGGAAGATGATCTGATGGATGTCATGGAAGGGATTATGTTACGGCAAGGCAAATAACTGCAAGAATTTAAGCATCAGTTTCAAAGAAATAAAGGAAACATTTTAGCCATAAATGAACGCAGCAACACTGCTTTGAAGGAGTTAGAGATGATCGCTAGGCAACTGGTTATTCATGCTGGTTTATGGATCCGTGATTTGAATAATTCCGATCCCTTAGTAAGCTGTCTTCTTGTATTGAGCATGGATGAAGGAAGCGATTACTGTAAAACATGCGACTCTGCGAGATGCCGCAGTCTTAGAGAAGTCTCAAAAAAATTGAGCTCTATAAAACACTCTCTAGAGGATATCATGAAGAACGTCCAGCCGGACAAAGAAACCTTACTAATGCCTTAAATGCAAAATACCAACAGGCCATAAGCAGTGTAGCAAACATGGAGGGGTGAATGAATTTTATGCCTCAAAAAATTAGGCATGTCGTTGAGACTAGAGTTATTTATCGTGGCAGATACAAAAGTAACGAAATTATCGTTTGTGTCACTGTGTATAGACTAATCGTTTGAGATGTAGTTCATGGTGATGTTTCAACTGCTTAGCAGTATGGTCTTCTTCAGGTTATCCTTCGACGTCAGGTGAATATGCGGGGCATGTTAAAAACATGGTCTGGATTGGATTCGTAAAAGTACGGACCATAAGCCCACCTAAACAGAAATACACCTCCATTACACTATTTGATTGACCCTTAGTATAAAAAGTAAAAATAACATTGTTATTTACCCCTTCATTAATTTCATGGATGACAAATGCCGCTTAGATTTTGACACTAGTGTTGACTGAATCGACTAGAGAACTCTAAAAACTTTCAGCAAAAATTTTTCGATAAAAATTCTGTCAGAGGTTATCCATTACAGTTCTGATATGACGTATGGTTTGTTTATTTTGTATACTTCGGCACTAGTAGAATAGTAGGAAACACCGGGGTTAGACTGTTCACAGTCCTCTATTTTTCCGTAAGATCGTCGAGATCGAGCGCTTTGCGTTACGGACTGCCATCTTGCGTGAGTTTCAAAACTCAAGATGGCTGCCATAGCTTGCCATTAACGTAAGACGCGATATATCTCAACGATCTCACGAAAAAATAGGGGACTGTGAACAGTCTACACTCGGTCTTATATAAGTTTGGGGTTATTGTAGCATTTGAGGATTTTTTTTTGTGTTTTGAATTTGGGATCTTATATTTGAAGGACTTATGAGTAGAGGGGCTTATTTTTGGAAATAAGACTAAGGGCTTCGTTTTCGAAGAACAGGCTTTGAGACCAATGCAGAAAAACGATACGTACTTTATTGCGAGTAATTTGATTATATTGACAGAAATTAAACTTCAATAAGGAGAAATCTGTTTTTTCTATAGCCTGTGGGAGGACTTGTTAAACATGACTGGGGCCTGACTGGATTTGTAAAAGGAGAATTTGTAAAACATGGATCAACTGGCTGATTAAGATGTAAACGATTAGTTAATAATCGCCAAAACAGGTGAAAAGCATCAATCCTAACAACCATCTCTGCTTTTTTATATTATAAAGAGAGCGTATCTTGTTGTCCTCTAATCCACAACATTACATTACACTTTAAACCACAGGCAGCCCAAGCTCAACAAGGAGACTGAATGGTTAAATGAATGAATGGATAGCGACGAATGGAACGTTTCTGTTGAAAAAACTCACAAAGCCTACCCGCCATATCAATCTCTTTAACGTGTGATCTTTGACTTTGTTTTGGGAGGTAAACAAACAAGAGGAACTTGCATTTTTTTTATACCTAAAATCGTCAATTTCTTATGTCACGTTTGCATTTCCTGGGAAAAGGTTAATTAAGGTCGGAAAGGCTAACAGATGCATTTTATGGGTGTGAAAAAGTCGAGAAAACGTTCTGGTTTTACGATTTACTCAGTACCTGAGAGACAAAAAAAAGACGGAATAACTTAACAGTAACGTAACCTCATGCATCAACTAACTGCACGGAAAAATTCTAAATTTAACAGACTTAGCATAGGCGCGTCTAGCCTGCTTGGCAGGCGTTTAAAAGGGAAGGGAAAGGGAGTTTCAGGCGTGAGAGAAACTCTAGGGGTGCGCGTCCCTCGCTTTTCTCTCGCGCCCAAAACCCCCATTCCCTTCCCTTTCAAACGCCTGCCAAGCAGGCTAAGGTGCGTCTTATAAGTAATGCAGTGATTGAACAAGCAATTTATAAATTCCCGTCTCGCTTTTGTTTATTAAATAAATCGATAATAACTTAAAATTCTCATATTTAAACTGTAAGGAGTACATATAAATTTGCTGTAGGCAAAATGTTTAGTTCTGCCAGTCCCAGCTAGTCAGTTGAGAACTGGTACCCATTTTAACCAAACCATGAACTCCCATAAAGACACTGCTCCGTTCTCGTCTTTGTCCATCTCCGCAAACACCTTCTCCATGTCTATAGTCTCATAGCCAAAGAACTTCATCATCTTTTCAAACTGGGCTCGGTCAAGGGTGTCGCTGTTGTCAGAGTCAAAAGTCTTGAAGTAACTAAGTGCTTTCGAGAGGTAATGATACTTGGCTTTGTCGTTCAAAATTTCGAAGCGTTCCCCGCTGCGAAGCCAGTCTTGGAATTCTTCAAAGGAGATATTATGATCCCCATTTTTGTCCAACAGTAGAAAATAGGCCCCTGATTGTTCCTGATTGAGGCCTAGTTCTCCTTCCAGAAGGAACTGAATTTCTTGTTCTTCAAGCCTCCCACTGCTGTTCGCATCGTATTTGTCAAAAAGGCTGCGTATGGCAGCTGTCGGAGCTTTTTTGTCAAAATAACTGAATCCCGCTTGCATGCCTCTTAATATTTCTTCAAAGTGTATCAGTATGTTATTGCCTTTGGCCTGTATGATTGTGGCAAATTGAATCCTTGATCTCATTTTTACACCCTTGCGACACTTTGAAATTTAACCTTAAAATAGACTCACACGTGAGGTATCTTGGCAAAAAAGATATACGCAAGTTGTAATTTTTACCCCATCAAATTTCACTCTAATTTCTCATATGGTACCTTGGAGACAAAAAGGACCTTAAAAATATGCCAAGAGTGTTGCAGTTTGCTGCCTGCTGGGTAGAAACAAATAATTTACATGCAAAACACTCGAATTAATATGTTGTTTTACCTTATTAAACGGTATTTAGGCTTATGTTTTTTCTTTATTTACTAGGTATTGTTTCTTAGAAGAACAGGATTTTACTACTTGAGTTCCGGTTAAGTAGTTTTGTATTCAGTTCAAGAAACTCGTGAGGTCGATTTGTTGTCTAAAACCGTCTTTACGTCAGCAGTAATGCAGAACGTGCCGCTCGAGAGAGCACGCAGGCAACTCAAATCAGTGGGTATTATAAGTATAAGTTTTTCTGTATTAAATTTTCTCATTTCTTTTAAAAACAAGCTTCTCTTTTCAGCCGTAAGTAATAAAAACACACTGTAAAATTGTAAAACCAAAGACAAAAAAACGTTGACAAGACTCTCGTCCACGAAATTGCGAAATTTCTGAATATTTAAAACTTAAACTTTAATGAAGTAGATTGGTGTAGCAATAGTACCAATTTAATTCGTTTTAATAAACAGATTTCAGCACGTAAAGTGTTCTGTTTTCGATCAAACGGGCTAATCTGCTGGAATGTTTTAGACAACAACAACAACAACAACAATTTATTAAGGTATTTCCATATCTATACATGGCATTACCTATCTAATACTTATGAATAAAGTACAAATATATCATTTATAAATATATGGCAAAATAAAAAGATTATATTCTTTTCTGAAATAACATATCATGTCTGTAACGCATACATTCAAAAACAAAAGCAGCAATTGATCTACAAACAGAGGGATCTATACTATTAAAGAGAAATAAAAGTTTTGAAGTCACATCTAAGTCCTTGAAAAGTGTATATCTATCAGATATTTCACTGAAGAATTTTAAACGTAAATTGTCATAAAGTTTGCAGAAGAATAGAAAATGAAGTTCATTTTCAACTTCATTCGTCTGACATAGATAACATATTCTTAAATTTTCGGGAGTTTTAGGTACTGTGTGTCTGCCTGTTTCAATATGTAATCGATGATTTCCTAGTCGAAATTTATTGAGTGAGGTTTTGTGAAGTGGATTTTTAATCATATTTAAGAATTCTGCTTTTTTATTATCGTTCTTAAAGGTAGTATAAAAATTCAATTTTCTATTTGTTTTAAGGAGGGTAAGTTGATGCTCAGTTAGAGCATTATTGATGTTTTGCTTGATGTAAGAGGTGAAGACTTTTTCGTTGTTTTCATTCAATGTTATGGCGGTTGCGTTGTACTTG